GCACCCACCCAGCCATCCATCCATACACACATCCATGCATCCATCCACCCACCCACCCATAATACATCCACACATGCATGCATGCATCATCCATCCATCCATCTACCCATCCATCCATGCATCCATCCATCCACCTACCCACCCACCCATACATATATACATCCATGCATCCATGCATCCATCTATCTATCCACCCATACATTCATTCTTTCATGTATCCTTTGCCTAGGACCATATGCTAGATTTTCTTATATTGTTACTATTATTATTATTATTATTATTATTATTGGTTTTCTGAGACAGGGTCTCGCTATGCATTTCAGGCTGGATTTGAACTCCCTGTGTAGCCCAGGCTGGCCTCGAACTCACAGTGATCCTCCTGCCTCAGTCTCCCAAGTGCTAGGGTCACAGGTGTGCCTTACATTTACTTAGATTATTACAACAAATAATCATAATCCTTGAGTCCATGGAGATCCTGAGTTAGATGGAAAGCCAGAATTATGTCTATGGCTTAAGGGAATATTTGACTATAAAGGGAATTTTTTTTAATGGAGATGCTGCTGGAGCGAGCGCTATAAAGGGGATGGAAAGAAACCTGAGCAGGTATTTGGTTTGGTCCTAGTGCAATTGTTTGGGAAGACACGACTGGCACACAGTTTGCAGGTTTTGATGGCTCTGAGCTGGGTGGTGACCCTGGCTTCATCAGCACAGCCAGCAACCGTGAGACTGCACCTTTTCTCCAACGTCCCCCACTCAACAAAGGAACAAAATAACTCGGCTTCAAGGTGACGTCCACCGCATTGCTCCCAAGGAGGCAGCACGCTGGGCTCCTCCCCCGACTTTTCCTCCGTGTGTGCCTCCTTCCTCCGCCTTTGGGCACCAAATACCATGTGCGTCAGGAGGCCAGCGCCCGCCCAGTCACACTGGGGACAGCGGTCAGGGCCGCAGGCAGGGCTTTTGGAAGCCCAGAGACAGGAGGATTGTGCTTGCCACGGGCCTGGCTCTCTGAGGACGGCGCCTGCCACAGTCTGTGGGTCCCGCCCGTCTGCGCAGCTGCAGACAGCGCTGCGCCATCGCCCCGCCCTTCATTAGTCCTGGGCCTTCGTCACCCGGCCTGACTTCGCATTGCTCAGTGTCTGCTGCGACAAAGTCAGACAGACCTAGGAATCAAGTCTCAGAAGTCTCAGAAGGAGCGGGGCTGGGCCTGTTCTGCTGTTTTGTTTTGTAAGAAATCTATTTCTTTTTTGTAGAGGGGAGCGGTGTTTGAGACAGGGTTTCACTATGTAGCCCAGGCTGGCCTCGAACTTGCAGCGATCCTCCTGCCTCAGTTTCCTGGGTGCTGGGATTACAGGCATGCGCCACCACGCCCACAGCTGGACCTATTTTGTTTGTAGTGACAGAAATGAGTTAAGGCAAGCATGGCCTTTTAACTTTCTGAAAGGGGTTGAGCACTGGCCCATCCACGTGCCCCAAATCC